CACGTCCAGCACTAAAGCCCGACTGTGACTCCAGAAGAGCTTCGTTAGCAATGTGGAGTAACAAATGATTCAACGGAACTCCACAAAGAACCTTATCGACAACAGACAACAGCGATATGCCACGATTATTTCCACAGTCATGCCTGTCTCCCTTGCCCTTGTACAAAACAACTATGACAGCCACTCTTTCCAGTCATCCAGAACACTGTTATTGCTCCAGGATTCCAGCAACAACAAATAAAACGGATGCAAAAGCCTCCTCACCTCCGTTCTTAAAAATTTCGGCATGCAGTCCATCCATTGCATGTGACTTTCCACCATTAAGCTTTCTGACAGCATTTTCAACCTCCTCAAATGTTGGAGGCTCTGCGAGAAAATTTTTAGATATAGATCTGATAAACTCTTCGTCAACCTCTGATTGAGAAGCTCGTCAAACTGTTCACACCACCTCAACAGAATATCATCGGGATCTCGAAGAAGTTTTTTGCCATCCTTAGAGGGGCAACAGGGTGAAGTAGATGTCCCGTAAACTTCACGAAGTAGATTGTACATGGACTTACTGTCCGTCACATCCGACGCAACCTGTATTTCATCAGCTTTGTCAATCCATCATTTGTTCTTCATCGTGCGCAGATTTCGTTGTATATCAGCTTTTATTGTCTTTAACTTGGCCTCAATTTCCTTCTTCTGATCACCAGGTAAATCACCATGAAGTAATGCAGAATGGAGTTTATTTTTCTCTTCAAAGAGCTTTTCTATGTGCTTGTTATTCTGATCAACTCAATCCTGCTGCTTCTTATCAGTAAATCCAACAACATCAGCACATGCCTCAGGAACTGCCTCCTTCAAAGAAGTTAAGTTATTTTCACTTACTAAAGCATCCATCTTATCAACTAGATTGTGTCTAACCTCGGAAACTTGCGGACGGCTAACATTCAGCCTCTTTGGAAGTGAAACCCATCCTCGTCTTTCCTTTTTACGGACAACACACTTGACTCTTGCTATAACCAGACGCTGGTCAGTCCAACATTCATCTCCACGCATTACACGCACAGTACATAGAACCTGTACAACACGGCGACTCACAAGAAATTAGTCAATAATGTGCCACTGTTTTTGAACCAGAATGCATGTACTGCCAATGAACACGTCCAATCCCGTGCACATTTGCACCAACAACAGACCATTTTTACTGCACTTTCCAAACACATGTTTACCAAGAACTTTCCATGCCTCGCATTCACGACCCACCCGAGCATTAAAATCTCCAAGAATGAAAATTTTGTCTGCTACAGGTATTTTCCTAACAAGAGACTTTAGTTCGTTATAAAAAGCTTCCTTTACATCATATGTGCAAACCATGTTTGGTGCAATCATGGTTGCATATCTTCCACATAGTAGAGGACCTCTCATAGTGATTATTCTATCACTGACACCTGTCGGAAACTCTTCCAACTGACTAGTTATTGATGTCCTAATGGCTAAAGCAACACCTCATTCTCTCCTTCCCTTCTTCCTTCCGCTCCAGAAACAGATTTCTCCATGAAATGACCCTCCCCAAGAAATCTAGTCACAACATCCAGATCATATATTTGGAGCTCATTAGCAACCAGGTCAGATCTTCTCTTCTCTCAAGTCGCGGTACATATATCAAGTAAAGTACGCACATTCCAGCACCCAAAATTGAGTGGTTTGCACACCGTAGCATGCTGACAACCGAGCCGAAGCTGTGGCTCCCTGGGACACCTGTAGGGCCAGATCTTTTCATATCTGGTTTCAGAGCCCTTATTGCCATTGACTTCGATTGCATTAAATACATTCATTCCCAAAAATTTGAGTCGCAGAGCAAAATGTAATCCTGGTAACATTTTGCTCTACAACTCAAATTTTTTTTGAATTTTGTAGTGAGCGCTTTTTTTTTATTGCACCTTTTAAGCGCGGCCTCCTTTGACAATATACTATCTTATATTTTATATTGTATTTTAGATTGATATATATATATATATATATATGTGTGTGTGTGTGTGTGTGTGTGTGTGTGTGTGATATTTTATTGGATATCCATTTTTATATATATATATATATATATATATATATATATATATATATATATATATATATATATATATATATATATATATATATATATGTATCAACTCGGAATGAGAAATCGAAGCACCGAGTTTGAATTCAGTCGAGTTCATTATTTTCAGTTATTAGCAAATAACCTTTGAAAAGATATGAATCCATCTCTTCTTTCTTTCAAAGCTATAAGTTAAATAGTAAGACAGATTGGTTGGCAAATATTCAAGGGGGAAGATAACTCTGAATACAACACCTAAGGTGGGTCGTTTGGAAAATTAGGGCATACGGTGCACTTGTTCTCTGTATTCAGTGTCTCCGAAACGTGTGGATCATTGTACAGAAGACTTTACCTCTTCGTTCCTACCACAAAGGGGGGCACAGGTTCGTATCCTGGCAGAGAGCACATTTTGTCTATTAAGTTTTCACGAGTACGCTGGCCGGCAGACAAAATACTGTTTAAAATAAACGGAGCGTCTACTCAAATACGAGTATCCCCCCCCCCAAAAAAAACCTTTAAAGTAATAAAATATGCAGGATTAAAAAATAAATTCCATTAATTCTTTATTTATATATATATATATATATATATATATATATATATATATATATATATATATGTGTGTGTGTGTGTGTGTGTGTGTGTGTGTGTGTGTGTGTTTGTGTCACCATTCAGTTTTGACCACAGTGTCCACCTTTATATTTACATACGCTCTGTCCCTTATATTGAACACTTTCTCACATAAATATAACATACCTTAAAAGTATATCTTTACCATATATATATATATATATATATATATAAAAGGAAGAGGTTATAGTTGTTTAAACAAGAGAAAAGTGTATATATTAAAAAGAAGAGAACGTTTTTGGTTGTAATGTGGATTTTCTAAAAAAATATATTATGCTTTATTTTTCATAATTTTGCTACACTGGTTCATGGTCTCACGACCTTCATCGTGCAAAGAGTGGATATTTCAACATATTAAAAGGAATTCATTTTTATGTTTTTCGATGTTAAACATTCTCGATGTTAAACGTTCTCTTTTTTTGTGTTAGTGACACAAATGTCTTCCTTGAACTGGCAGTGAGAATGTTCTGCGTGAAGGGTAATAAAACAATTAAGATTGGTTCGAGAAACGGTGAGGAAATATATCTTTATTCTTATCTTTTAATGACGCCTGTGTGTAATTAGATCTATTTCCATTTTTTTGGTATTGTGTGTGTTTTTGTCAGCATGCGTATGTATACGTATATTCTCTCTCCATACATACATACTGTCTTATTATAAGATATTAGTATACACATATACACACACACGCACATACATACACACATACACATACACACACTTCCTATGTTGTGTAGGGTTCGCGTATGTGCCTGTGAGCAGTCTTGTTTTTGCCAATATGTGCATATATACGTCAGTATGCGTATGTATACGCTCACTTCCTCTCCATACATACATACTGTCTTATTATAAGGAATTAGTATACACACATACACACACATACATACATACACACACACACACATATACATACATATATACATAGATACACACTTTCTATGTTGTGTAGGATTTGCGCGCGTGCTTGTGAGTAGTCTATTGCTTTTGCCAATATTCGTATACATATTTGTGCTCCATAGACACCCGCGTGTGAGTGTGTGCGCATGCAAGCAGAGTGGTTCGACCACTGTATATATATATATATATATATATATATATATATATATATATATATATATATATATTTGGATTTTTCTATGGAGGTTGGAAAATCTTTTCAAATTCATGAAATACTTTTCTGACTAGGGTTAAGAAGGTGTACAGCCGAAATATCGTATTTAGTCTTTTGGGAGAAACACGTCTCTAAAGTATTTACTCAATATTCACTACAAGGTGGGATGTGGCACAAGGCCGGTTTTTAACGTGGGGTGTTCCGATCCCGTAGGCTCGGGTAAAAATTCCCCGTAGACTCCATATAAACAGGGTCTGGTTTGTCGACCTCCACAGACGGGACTACCCTTCGGTATAGTTTCGTCTAGGTTACTCTCCACCCTGAGGAAGAGAAGCCGATAAGAGAGGAAACTCTCTAAGCCACATTACTGGAACACATAGATTTATATTCAGAAAGAATTAAAAGAGAAAGCAGAACATTGTCATGTAGTTGTGATTAACTTCATGTACTTCAATGTAATTAAATGTCGTCATCAAACAGTAATAATAATAATCTCCGAGACTAGGTTGATAATATTGCTTCACAATGCGATGTCACAATAGACTTTGACACAAAATCTGATTGTGGAGTACTCAATAATAATGGAATTCGCTGCAGCGCAGGAAATTGTGTTGAGTCATGATCTCCAACGTCCTGAAGAAACACGGCACATAGAAGTAACAGTCTGCGATAGCAAGGCGACCTATATATTGACATTTAACAGACTATTCTTTCTCTCTCGCACCCTTTCACTCTCTCTCTCTCTCTCTATGCTTTTGTAATTACAAAAAATTATGAGTTTTTAACTTCTCTGAAGAGATTGCTCTGCTGTGTGTGTGTGGGGGGGGGGTGAGAACGAGAAGAAACAAAACACGTGCCGCTTGTCAGCATCAAGAAAACTTTGCCAAAAGTTACCCGCTTTCTGTTTGCATCGTGTGTAAACGTTCACTCTCACTACCCCAACACATCTAGAATTCAGGGTGAGGTACATGGAACTTCGTGGGTGGAAGTGTGTACAGAACGACGGTGAGCCAGTTTTAGAAAGAAAAGAAACGGTTGTATATCTATTGTCTAGAAAGCAACACGCTTGGCGTTCGCCGAGTGTAAGCTGCCGGGTGCACTGTAGAGTGATTTTCTTTTCGGGGGTGCTCTTAAGTTTTTAACTGCCGATCCGTTGAATGTTTTTTTTCTTTTTACTCTTTTTCTGGTTGGGTTTTAAATGAATGTGTTCTTTATAAAGGGTAGCAGAGGAACACCGCATTGCGAGCGAGCGAGCGAGCGAGCGAGAGAGAGAGAGAGAGAGAGAGATATGAAAAACATTACTAATTTGTAGTTCCTTAGATATCTGCATTTTCAATATTGTAAAGGGCATTTAGCTTTTAAGAACAAAAAACCCCTCTTTTTATGTTTGTGTTATATTCCGTGCCAATAGGAATATATATACTTGAAAAACAAGGTGGATAAAATAACTAAAGGTTTATTGTAAGAAACCAGTACAATAGGAATAAATGTAACAGTTATGAACACGGTTATCACAAGTCAATCCAGTAGTGAGTGCTACTATTGGAAGGTCGGTAGTTCTCGCGTAAGTCTGACCCGTACTCAACAGATTCCAGCTAGTCCCTGTAGTCTGTTGACTTACAGATACTTATAGGTAGTTACTGCATTTTCAATGTTGTAAAGCGCATTTCGCTTTTAAGAACAAAAATTTCCTCGATTTTGGCATTAGGAAAAGTCGGTCATCGTAGAAAGAAACCAAATCTGAATTGTAATGTGGGAAATAGTGCTAACAGACCCGGGTGATGAAATATTTTAAAGAAGAAACTGTTAGCATAGAACTTACGGTTACATCTAGTCTTTTTAACTGTAAAATGATGCGACCTTGCTGACAATCTAGTACTGCGCTTAAATTCATAAAGTCTACGATCTATCAACACCTTAGCGATACTCGTAGTGACATACAACTGCAACATTATTAAATGGAAGTTGAATGATATTAAAAGATTGGACGACAAGACCAGAAAAAAGCTTACCCAAATGAGGATGCACCACCCGAAATCAGATGTTGATAGGGTGTATATACCAAGAGCTTTAGGAGGCTGAGTTCTAATCCAACTTGAATTAACTTTAAAAACTACAACAATCGGATTGGAAGTCTATCTCATAAAAACTAATGACCCTCTCCTGCAAATAGTAAAACCCCAAATCCACTCGATAAACAAAGAAGCTCCGAAATGCAATTATTATTATTATTATTATTATTATTATTATTATTATTTAGGTTAAAATGGAAAATAGGAAAGCAACAACAACCAAACAACATATAGAATATTTGCAAGAGGAAAAGTAGAATAAAAATCTAATTTGCCATGACATTGCTTGGAAATCTGATCTTTGGAGACAATCTTCCACCGTAAGACAGGAGTCCTTAACTTTTTCATCTCCAGCACTCCTTTACAAATATATTTTTACAGGTTGCTCCCCACTCAACTATGTTAAAATTGCACTGATAAACAGAACACAGTTAATACAACAAGCTTAATGTCAAGTGTTTGCTTTTTGTTGCTACTGTTTTATGACAGTACCGATCACCGGAAGTAAGCTGTGACGGGAACACAGGTTTGACCACAGAAGCTGATGACTTGCAAATGTTTTTCTCTGTGCACATATTTTAATTGTATCTAAATATTTAAAATATGCTTAAAATATAAACACATCGACAAATATATAAACAAATGAGTGTGAGTGGAACGCGCCGTTTTTAAACAGTGTGTATTACGTCTACCGGCCTGCGCATTCGTGAAAACTTACACTTACTGCCCCCTTAAGAATTCATAGTGCTCCCAAGAGGGCGTTACCAATCACGTTGAGAATCATTGCTGCGGAATTAGAACCAAATGGCCAAGGGTTTGGACTCACAATGGGGAACTACTTTCCTGAAGGCGTATCTGTAGTCAATAAGTTTGAAAACTAAGTTTACAAACCACAAATGTCTGGAATGCTTTCTTCCTGTGAATGATACTTGTTGAATCAAGTTATCATACGTATTCATGAGAATGAGTACATAAATAAATAAACATATGTCTTCCTACAAACCGTTTGTTTCAGACAAATGCTCAAAAGAGCGAGTCGAAGAATGTCGAGCAGGAACCGAGATATTACTGCTTTGATTATTAACCAAGATGCTATAAGTAAGATCATAATAGAAGTGATAATGAAGTCATTACATTCATGATCAGCATCATCTTAATTCAAAAATTACCTAACGACGAAGAGGCGAGTGGGTCGATCTCATTTTCGTGACAGGCGTTATGGAAGTTTAGGAGTGGAGATTAGACTGAACACGAATACGTAACACTTTTTTTTTTTAATCAAAATTTGCAACAGCAACGTTTTTTTTTTTTTTTTTTTTTTTTTAATTTTATTAAAGTTTTATAGCCTCAATATTAACATTGACGAAAATCTTATTGACGCACCAGGGGTGCGGCAAGGAACAGGCCTTCTGTTTGTCGAGGATCTCGAGTCAAGATGGAGCGAGCAGTCAAATGAAAATTGATTGGGAAGTGAATTCAAGCATGTCTAGTTTCATACATTTTTAATTTAACTTTTTAGAAGCATTAAATTTCAGAGTTAGTAACTTTTTTTGTTCTTTTTCTTAAGTTCTATAGACTTAATAAGGTTTTTTTTTAGATTTATTTTCATTTAAATGAAAACGTATAATTAAGTAGAAAAATTACCAAAAAGTTGGTTAATCTAGAAAGTGATTGCCTGCGCCCATCAAATTTTAAAATATTTTATAAATTGAAGTAACACAATTTATTAAGGGCAAAGTTTCACTTAAAAATAACCTTGCCGCAACCTTAGAATGCCTATGTAATACGCGATTTCAAAATATACATTCAACATTTCGATGATGTATTTTTAATGCACATCATATGCTGGTGGTGTAATGGATAACGGCTCAGAAATGTTAATTCAAGAGCCGAGTTCCAATTCCAATTGGGTTCGTTATATTCACTTACGCGCAAATACCCTTGGGAAAAAGTATGAATCCACCTCTTCTCTCCCCAGCTATGGGTTAATTAGTAAAACTTGTATCACTAAAACTATTATTATCTAAAAATTTCGGTATTAAGTAACCCATAGTGATTGACATGCGCTAAACAAAAACAACCCAACAAATCTCCTGAGGCCGATATTATCAAGTCTTTCCTTAATTAATTGACCAGGGTGTGATTCAAATCCAGTTCTAACCGTTCGGTCACGCACTCGTCTGAGAAATAAAGGGTCATTTTTGGGAATATTTTAAATTATAATAACAATTTTCAAGAAAAAAAAACCTGAGACAATTTCGATTTCCAGAACGTGTAATAATAATAATAATAATAATAATAATAATAATAATAATAATAATTTAATTTTTAAATTTCACAGCAAAGACAAACGAATGTAAACTTTTTCTTTTTTTTTTTTTTTTTTTTTTACCAGCGTCATTCTCTTTGATTTCCAATCGTGTCTCTGTCTATTGTTGCTTGGCAACCCATTTAGGAGAAGGAAAACTCCGAACAACAACCCGCAACTCAAGGTGTTAATCGTGCCGAGGAGTGAATGGCTAATGCGTTATGAGGTCGCGAACGATCCCCTACAGGCTTCGGAACCCTGTCTGTAAAAAAGACCGTTACTCAACGTGCCGGGCAACTTTGGGTGGACTTTTGGACCCGTGCGTCACTCGTGGGATTAATATGAAAATTAAAAATAGAAACAAAACGTCCAGTATGGCTCTTCCAGTGGATAAACAGGGAGCCCGTCCTTCAGGAGGGAACCTACCTGAGGTCGAAAAAAATCTGCCATAGGAACAAACTCCTACACAAAGAATGAATCTTCAGGTCCCCACAACCAGGATAATCCTAATGATGGTCCTGTAAATTCTCCAGCTAGATCCATAACCGTAAATTTAAGGAAAGAAAAAATAAAATGGTCTCGTGAGGAGTACAAAGTTGTTATGACTGCATTCCATGAAGCGTTACTCAAACCTCAGAAAAACATCACTCGCCAAACATATGACATTTGGCGAGAGAAGGTTCAGGCAAACAATTAGAAAGTACATAGACAAAAATAAACTAGCCAATGTAAGAAGGGACATCATGCGAAATAACCGATTGACAGAGGCTGAAATTAATGAAATAAAAAGAATTGCAACAAGAATAGATGAACCAACAAAACATGAAAAGGAACCGGAATCAGGAAAAAAAAGTAGTAACATCACACAAGCCTCAGGTCATAATGAAAAAACCGAAATACACACAAATCACTGTGAAGATAATGCTGAAAATTTAGAAATGTTGGAAAGGTATGATCTTAGTCAGTCACAAGACGGTAATAAAACGAGTTCAAAATTCATCGAACAGAATTATTTCACAGAAAACAAGATTAATATACAAGAAGCCAAGGATGAAATCATGAGCCATATAAGTCAGATACAGAATATTGCAATGGAGGAACGAGAACAACTCCCAAAATTACAACCAACAAAGCATAACCTCAAAACTATTAAGCTCTATAATGCAGCACTCAAATTGATTCTGGATGAAGAAGACACTCATATAAATCTCAATGAAGCAATATATGCATCAGCAATAGCAGCAACAAATAAACTGAACATCAAAGTAAAAAAAAGGCAGTCTCACAGACATGAAGATCCACCTTGGAAAAGAAAAATAGAAAAAGAAATTGAACATCTTAGAAGTGAATTATCAGTACTCGATGAACTAGCAAGAGGAGTAAATGTAAGAACTAGAAAAGGCAGAAGAGTCGAAAGAAAATACAATATCAGGAATGAAAAAAAAAGTCCTATCAACTAAAGAAAAATAAAGCAAACAATACAACTGAAGGCTCAAAAGAATAAGACGCTACGAGAAAAGATCAAGATTCTATAGACAGAACAAGATCTTTCAAACCGATGCAAAAGAAATTTTACAGGGAAATAGGTAAACAAAGAATTGAAGTGACAGTCCCCCTAAAATGGAAGAAGTTATACAGTTCTGGGGAAAAATATGGGCTTGCCCTAAAGAACACAACGAAGAGGCAGATTGGATTGCGCAAGAGTTAGAACGAATGAAAAAATAAACCAGAACAGACATGGGCGGGAATCACAGAAGAAGATGTTAAATGTGCACTGAAAAAAAGCACACAACTGAAATCTCAGGAATAGATAAAATTCTTAACTTCTGGCTATATTATTTAAATACAGCACACAAAAAACTCGCCAAAGAACTTCAAGAAATGGTTACCGATCCAACTAAAATTCCTGCATGGATGACCAAAGGAGTTACCTTTCTTCTACCCAAAAAT